TAGCTAGTAGTAGTACTCTCGGCCATCAGACACTCAAGAGAAATTGCCTTCAATTTTTATCCCTCCTCTCTTCCCTTCCTTTCTTCTTCATTATTCTTTTAGATTACCTACTGCATGCAGCTCAGTGCTTGGCATATTGTGGGTGCTCAATAAATAATGTCCTCCTTCAGTACAGATTTTTTTTATGTCATTAAGGGAAGAGCAAGGGTGACATCCATTCAGCTCACCCTGGCATCCCCTATGCCTGGCACAAAGGAAGCCCTCAATAATGTTTGGTGAGTGAATGAACTGCATGCTTTGGGAGTTCGGAGAAGAATGGGTGTGCCATGAAAGAGTTGAAAAAAGTGTTAACCTCTGAGCTGAACAAAGGAAGTTCTATGAGGCATGGAGAGTGGTGGTTTCCTATGGGATGAATTTTCTGAGCTATTGTGAAGCAAGGCAACAGAGCCATTCATATGCCACCACTTTTAGGAGGTGGATGGAAAGATAAAGGGAGCATTGATAGAGAGCAATGGGGTCTTTAGAAAGTGAGAAATCCCTAGGAGTCCACAGAGTGCTGATGTATTAGTGTGCTGGATATGCTTCGGATACACATTTTCTTTTCCAGCAGAACTGTATTTTACCTGCTGGCAAAGAGCAACAATTCACTTGTAGCACAGGAAGAAAGCTGCAGAAAATCAAAGGGAAGCAGCAGGCAGGAACCTATAAGAGAGTCCCACTTTCCCATCCCCTAGACAGAAAGCCTGGGACGAGAGTACTTTAAATTCTGCTCTGCAGTTTTCTGGGAAAAGATGATTCTGTTGTAAATTATTGAACATTTCATTTAAGCTTCATAAATAAGAAACTCAGATGAAAACGTTACATGTTAGATCCGTTTGGCAACATATAATTTCTGTCTTACTCCATCGAACCGTCACCCTTCATCTACGTCAGAGAATTTCTACTTCATTATAGGCAATTGAAGGTTTCAATCAGATGCCTAAGAAAAGTAGTTTATGTCCCAAAGGTAATCTAATTTCTCCAACCAAGGATGTACCTGGGACTCGCAGAACATATTGACAGAGATAAATGTGTTCTTGGAACGGCTCTGGGGGCGTTGCAATCACCCACTCAATCTAGTGACAGGTACTCCACCCAGCCAGGGGCCGGCTCCTCACTGACAGCTGAACTCCCTGAATCACTGGTTTCGTCGGAGCCAACAAGCTTAAACATCAGCAAACTGATGACAAGTGTGCCGAGGACCAGCCTGTACCTGCCTGGGGCACCCAAAAAAAAGGGCTCAAGATCCTGGAACAGTCCTCTGGGCAAGATAATAATGATATTGGCTACTATCAGGACAGCCACCGCACTTCATTTCATCCTCACGATGACCTTCCAAGATACAGATCATTGGTCTTCCCATTCTACCAACACTGAAGCTCAACGACATCAAGTATCAAAGTTACACCTGTAGAAAGTGGCAGAGCCTGAATGTTATTAATGTAAGCACGGCTGACCTCAAAGTCTGTCAAACTGTAAACTTTAGGGATCCCTGGGTGGTGCAGCGGTTTGGCGCCTGCCTTTGGCCCGGGGCGCGATCCTGGAGACCCGGGATCGAGTCCCACGTCGGGCTCCCGGTGCATGGAGCCTGCTTCTCCCTCTGCCTGTGTCTCTGCCTCTCTCTCTCTCTCTCTCTCTCTCTCTCTCTGTGTGTGTGACTATCATACATAAAAAAATAAATAAATAAATAAAAATAAAAATAAAAAAACCTCCCTGATGCTAAAAAAAAAAAAAAAAAACTTTAAACTTTACTTCCACAGGTAATGACACTGTAGAGAAAGAAAGAATGAAGAGTTGAGAAGTGGAGGGACCTGGTTTGAGAAAGGGAGAAGAGGGCTGGCTGGTTCTAATATACTCCTTCAAGGGAGCCTGGTCAGTAAGGCCTGGTAGCTTTTACCATACTCAAGTATGGGTGCATTTATTGCATCGACTGTCCTAAAGCCATACTGAAGATGTGGGTGCAGAACCCTCTGGCTACCGTCAGCATTTCCCTTCATTAAACCAAACCATTTGTGGGGCACCTGGGTGATGTAGCTAGTCAAGGGTCTGACTCTTTGTTTCAGCTCAGGTCGTGATCTTAGGGTTGTGACCTCAGGGTCCTGAGATCAACCCCCATGTCAGACTTGGTGCTCATTGGGGAGTCTACTTGAGATGCTCTCAATCCATCTCCCTCTGCACCTCCCCCAGCTTTAAATAAATAGATAACTCTTAAACAAACAAAAACACAAGCCATTTGTTAAGGAAAGGTTAGCTTTGTGCAGTGGCAGTATCATAGCCTATGAGGTTTATCTGAGGCATGATTGTTGCTAATTGTTAAGGAAAGGTTGCTCAATGCATTTCCTGTCAAAATCATTCCTATTACCTCAGGGATCCTGGGGAAGTCACAGCTGCTCTGGCAAGGGGATGACATTGGGGGCAGGGTAGGACATTCCAGTCCTCCTAAAAGGCCTGAACCTTTGCCTGAGTTTCTTTTTATATATGATGGTGTACTGGTTTGAATAGTGTCCACCCCAAAATTCATGTCCAACTGGAACCTGGAATGTAATCTTATTTGGAAATAGGGTCTTTACAGATGGAATCAAATTAAAATGAGGTCATAACAGATTAGACTGGGCCCTAAATGTAATGTGACCAGTGTCTTCAAAAGAATGGGAGAAGACCTAGACACCCAGGGAGACTGCCATGTGTTACAGACTGAATGTTTGTGTTGCCTCATTCCCATTGTGATCTTAGTTGATAGGGCTTTTAGGAGGTGATTAGGTCATGAGCTAGGAACCCTCATGAATAGGATTGGTGCCCTTATAAAAGAGACCCCAGAGAATTCTCTTGTTCTTTTCACTGTGTATGTTCACAAACATAGCAAGAAGGTAGCCTCTATGAACCAGGAAGTGAGGTCTTATCCAATGTCAAATCTGTTGGTGCCTTGATCTTGGACTTCTCAGTTTCCAGAACTATGGGGGATAAATGTGTTTTAAGCCATGGTGATTGATGATAGCAGCCCAAGCTGACTAAGGCACCATGAGACAAGAGAGGAAGAGCCTGGAGTGATGCAGCTACAAGTAAGGAAAGCGCAGCTGGAAGAGGCAAGGAAAGATGCTCCCTCTTAGAGCCTTTGGAAGGAGCTCTGCCCACCGATAACTTGATGTTGGCCCTCTAGACCCTAGAACTGTGGGAGAATAAATTTCTGTTGTTGTAAGCCATCCTGTTGTCATCATTTGTCATGGCAGCCACAAGAAACTAATGCAGGTGGAGAAAAGACTTCCCATCCCACCTTCCTCAGGTTGTGGTGAGGATCAAAACACATTCAGGTATTTTGAAAAGAATAAATGTTATGTAAATGCAGAATAGCATGATCATCAACCAGGGCTCTTGTGGACCCACACAGAGCACCCACCTCCAAAAAAAGCCTACCAGAAGAACTCAGACTCATCATGGGGGGACCCACAGGTGATGATTTGATCTTGTATTTTTCTACAATCCCACTTCTAGTAAATGAGGGTGAATTAGATGCTAGTTATGCCCACATTCTAATCCCAGGAGCATGTGACTCTGTCATCTTACATGGAAAAAAGGAAATTGTAGATGTGGTTAAGTTATCCAGGTGGGGCCAATGTAAGAACAGGAGTTCTTATAAGAGAGATACAAGGAGATTAGTCAGAGTGGAAGATGAGGCAATGGACAAGGAGGTTAGAGGGAAAAACAGGTTTGAAAATGCTATGCTATGGATTAAGGAACCATAAGCCACGGGATGCAGGCAGTCTCTAGAGGCTGGGAAAGGCAAAGAAATAATTTCTCCCCCAGAGCCTCCAGAGGCTGCAACCCTGCTGAACTATTTAGACTTCAGACCTGCTTAATGCTGAACTAAACAATAATAGACTTGTGTTGTTTTGAGCTACTACCTCGTGGTAATTTGTTACAGCAGCAATAGTAAATTAATATACCAGTCAAGTCAGTTAGTCTGAAAATGAATGTGGGAGAAGGTAGGGAAACACCCCAGATAATTACAGGTATCCTAGGAGGCTCCCAACCATTCACTGTATTAAACCCCCAAAGGATTTCCCCAAGAAACTTGCATCCTTTATAGTTGAACAGTTTTTGCATCTTTTCCATCTTCTGGAGTCCTCCAGAAGTCATCCTAAGATTGATCCCATAACTCCAAATACCCTGGGGTCTGAATTATTGACCTTGGTAGGCAGCCCACAGCAATAGGGCTTCTGTCTGCCCCTACATTAAAGGCCTGACAGCCTGTGCTCAGAAAGTCCAACCAGTGTGTCTTCCCCCAAGAAGGGATCCTGGAGTCCTCATATGGCTTCAGTCCCTGCCTATAAAAGGTGCAGATTGATGCTCATACACAATGTTTAAGAAATGCTTTAAAGGCCCACGTCCACACAATCCCTCTCGATTACCTACTCCTCCAATTCATAGCTTATACAAGGACTCTCTTCACTAGTTGTAACCATCCTAAGACTCTAAGTACCACAGGGAGAGTTTCCACAGGAAAGCACATTTCTGAAGATTACTGACAGGGGCAGCCTCACTACCTTCCCAAAATCAGCAGCAAGAAGGAAGCTCTGCACTGAGTACTTCATCCTGTTGACTTGATATGGATTTCCTAAGTGGTAAAATTGGGATTTCTTAATAGATAAAATTAGAAGACGATTCAGGAAGGATTAAACATAAGATCTGAACAGGAGGGGCACCTGGGTGGCTCGGTCTGGTGTCTGCTTTCGGCTCACGTCCTGATCCCAGGGTCCTGGGATCGACCCCCAAGTCAGGCTCTTTGCCCAGCGATGAGTCTGCTTCTCCCTCTTCCGTTCCTTCTGTGATCTCTCTTGCTCTTAAATAAATAAAATCTTAAAAAAAAATCTTAAAAGGAATCTAAGCTCATTTGCTTCTCTCCTTTCTGGCTTCCCTACCATTGACACATACGGAATAATATTTGTTTCTGCATCTACCGACAGATCTGGTGCCTGGCACGGAGTATGGAGTTGGAATATCTGCTGTCATGAACTCACAGCAAAGTGTGCCAGCCACCATGAATGCCAGGACTGGTGAGTAGGAGGATTGATGCATAAGAAGACTAGGAAACTCCGTAGACCTGAGAAGTCATGGAGGCTTGTCCTGGAAAGACTTGGTCAGAAGGCAATGCCCCTTCATGAACAGGTCCCTGGATTACAGTTACCAGCCTAGAAACAACATCTACCTGCAGATCTCTGTGCCTAATCTCTGACATCAACACGTAGGGTAGTCTCCCTCTCTTCCCCACAGATCTGTGCACATCTCCCATGGTCTGAAGGGCTGCCCACAGAGGTGTAAAATTCCAAATAGGTTGGTGTCATAGCAGGTCATATTTTTTTCTAGACCACTCCAGAATAGGCAAGAGTGTGATGTTCCTTACGATGCATGACAGAAGCTCTCATAAAGGCGACAGGGATAAAGGTTTAAATTTGGAAGCAACCCATTAAATCTAAGGATAGTGGAAAAGTCCACCAGAGACGCTTGCTACTCTGGATCCAACAGATTTGCTTCCAAATTCTGGGTAAATTTCAGTCACTCTAGTAATAGGCAGGCTGGACTGAGCTGGGGATTTTGAAACAATCCCTGTCCCAAGACTCATTCTAGTGTAGACAACATCTCTACAAAATGGCCTCAGGAACAGGGGTAGCTACTATTGCCAGGAATGTCATATCCCTACTCGATAGTGGCTCCTATTTTACCCTGGTTGGCTTGCTGAGAAAGGCGGAGAGAAAATGAATATAGAGCTTGACAATCAGCAGCCAGCTCTTCCCCAGAGGTGGAGGAATTCCAGTGGTGTTGGAGTACTAATGCCTTTATGAAGATTGTCCATCTATATACCAAGCCCCTGGCCATCTTTCAAAGGGAAGGCACTTAACAAAATTGTGAGATAATTGTCAGCAATGACAAGATAATCATCATGGTCAGCAGGCCTGCTGATAGCTTAGTTATCCACAGGGAGGTCCAATTCCAATAAATATTGGCCAATCTATGGAACTTGTGTAAAATAGGCCACTTTTGTTGATCCACAGAACTTGACAGTCCCCGGGACCTCATGGTGACTGCCTCCTCGGAAACCTCCATCTCCCTCATCTGGACCAAGGCCAGTGGCCCCATTGATCACTACCGAATTACCTTTACCCCATCCTCCGGGATCGCCTCAGAAGTCACTGTGCCCAAGGACAGGACCTCATACACATTGACAGATCTGGAGCCTGGAGCAGAATACATCATTTCAATCACTGCTGAGAGGGGTCGGCAGCAAAGTTTCGAGTCCACTGTGGATGCCTTCACAGGTACCAGGGTTGCAGAAATCCCAGCTGGGCTCAGGGCTTAATGGGGATTTTAGTGCCAGAAGGTCATCTAGGTAACCCACTCTTCCAATGCACCATTTTGTTTAGAGAAGGAGGAATGTGGGTAAGGAAAGAAGAGATAGAGGAGAAATTAATAAATATATCAAGATGGAATGGTTGGAAATGACGGGGAGAGATAAGCAAGTCTACCTACCTGTCAGAAAATTTGTATCTGGTTTCCTACAGCCTGGACATAGGGGTTGATTCTATACATCTTCCCCTGTCTGCACTAAATCAGTGGGCATCCAGAGGATCCATAGGACCATGTTAAATTTCTCCCAGAATAAAGATTTTAAACCCTGAGTGAGTATTATGAATAACTCACAGAGGCTTTGCCCTGCTGAGGGCATTCATTTTTCAGTATGTGGCTTGGAGAAAGGAGAGTAAACAGGACTGGTGAGTGAGGAGGTGGAAGCTCTGAGTCAGCAGGTAAAGGTGTAGTCCTAGTTTACAAGGAAAGCAGATGGCTTTAGTCAGTTGGCTCTTCTAGCCAGGGCCCCACCACCTCATGTATGTTTCAGAACCATCATCTCCTCTGATTTGCAGGCTTCCGCCCCATCTCCCATTTGCACTTTTCTCACGTGACCTCCTCCAGTGTAAACATAACCTGGAGTGACCCATCCCCTCCAGCAGACAGACTCATTCTGAACTACAGCCCTCGCGATGAAGAGGAAGAGATGACAGAGGTCTCTCTGGATGCTACCAAGAGGCATACTGTCCTGATGGGTCTGCAGCCAGCTACTGAGTACATTGTGAACCTGGTAGCAGTCCACGGAACAGTGACCTCTGAGCCCATCGTGGGCTCCATCACCACAGGTGAGGTTGGAGGACTTGACAGCAGGTGGTGAAGGGGGTTCCTACAGAGATCTTTAGCAAGTCAATGAAATCTACAAAGAGAAATTCTCAGGAAGTGGGGAACTGCCTCACTTGGCTAAAGAGGGTCTGTGACCTATTCTGAAAAAGCCACCTCTTCTAGGACTGCATAAAATGTGTAAGATGGGAAACTTCCTTTTGGAAGGTAGGACAGACTCAATGTCTTGAGGATGACAGCACTTGAATGCTTTGGTTGAGAGGTTTTCACACTACCAGCCCGAAGAGAGTTAGCCTTCAAGAAGAAACTCCATCTCTTGATGGTGCAATAAGGTCACTCATACAAATGATACTTCCTCAAAATTATATAGGACTAGCACACAACCATGTAGGAACCTGAGACTCAGAAAATGTGGTTGATTTGTATATTTTTTTGGAAAACACAGGCACTCTGAGATGTACTGGATCATTCTTTTCTCATCATTCTCAAATACAATCCCAGATATGAGTGTTCATGTGGGTGAGGACATGTGTATTTGGGTCATTTCCTACATACTAACTAGAACTCACAAACTGGATAAGTGGATGAAGCACACAGCTGGTTTTGGCCCTGTGACCCTCCAGTAGTCAAAGAATAAAACATCTGGTACAGATGAAATACAATTTATGAAAGTGGATTTGTTCTGGACTTGTGCTCCAAAATCCATCTAGACTCAATAGGCAGTTTTTCCAAATTGAACTATAGGTGGCTGCTAAAAAATAAGAGAAACAGAGTTGAGTTTGTCCAAGAGAAGTTGCTTCAGAGAAAATGACCATATTATTTACTCTCAGTTCAAAACAAAACATATAAACTTAAAGGGTAAGTTCCCAACTGGCCTTCACGTAGGTAATGGTTGCTGCACAGCAAGCACAGAGCTTGCCAACTTGACTACATGTTGTTAAAATATTCCCCATGAACATGGCTTTAGTTAATACCTATGAGATTTCATGTGAAACTTCAGCCTGACCATGGCTTTAAGGAAAAAGATCAAGCACAAAGATCTTGTCTGTCTCTGGCACACCATTAGCTCTTGGTCCATATGAAACCGAGGATAGGAATTGCTTTTTCACACTGTGCTTTCTGTATTTTTCCCACAACTACCTGGGTCCTTGTAGGAATTGATCCTCCCAAAGACATCACAATTAGCAATGTGACGAAGGACTCAGTTATGGTCTCCTGGAGCCCTCCTGTTGCACCTTTTGATTACTACCGAGTATCATATCGGCCAACACAAGGTAACAAAGTTATCTGATTTATCACAAATGGATGGGATTTGGAGCTAGGTGAAGATTGCTATGGGAGAACTACATGTCCCAGAGGATATCACCCCCTACCTGCATTCTCCTCCTCTCTATGGCATGTTCCATCACAATAAAAGTGGGTTGAGGAGAAGCAGCCAAGAAATCTTGAACTCACCAACTCCTCTGACAAAAGGCTTGACTATATTCACCCAGAAAGCAGGCCCTCCATCCGCAGAGTGAACCATGGTAGCCATGGTCACCTTATCTAGGCAGTATAGTGAGAAACAAAGAACCCTAAAGAATTCTATCAGGATCCAGGGTCACATTCACTTTCCTGAGTGAGAGAAGTCCAACACTAGAATCCTGGGGAATGCCTAAAGACTCAGCTGAGACACATGGAGCCTCAGAGGGAGCCACAGTGATGGTGGTCCTATTTCTGCCACTCCAGCCAAGTTATGAGTCAGAAAAAGTTGGCCCAGACCTCCCCTGAATCCTGCCAGTTCATGCTGGTGCATGTCACACTGTTAAGAAAGTAGAGGGCCTGCCCACTTCCTGGGGGGCCAGTGGGATAGTTTTCCAGACTCCCTGTCTCTGGGCTTCATGGACCACTCTCTGCAGCCATGATCTCTAAACTGCCTTAAGAAAACTGGCTTGTTAGAAAACCACCTAACCACCTTTTTTCTTTGCTCCAAGGAACCTATAAAATGAGGGGGTGGGACAAGTATGCAAGGCCTCCTCAAGCTCCAACATTCCCAGTCTATGAACCATTTCTCTTCCTTCCCTACTGAGTGCTGGGCCTTGAACCCATCTCTGCTTCATGACAAAGTGCTACCAGAAGCTTCTATGTAGACTGTACCATGAGCTGTGTTGATGAAGGATCCACCAAACTTTAACAGTGGCTTCTGCTCTTCCTTAGTTGGACGACTGGACAGTTCAGTGGTGCCCAACACAGTGACGGAATTCACCATTACCAAACTGTATCCAGCCACTGAGTATGAAATCAGTCTCAACAGTGTACGGGGCAGGGAGGAGAGTGAGCGCATCTGTACCCTCATTCACACAGGTAGGCATGTCTCCGTGTCATGAGCCAAGTCAGGACCCTGGTTGAGGATCTGCAACAGACAAAAGAGGCAAACAGTAGAGTTGCTCTGGCTAGTACAGAGGACACTGGTTCTGGGCTCAGAAGCTCCCTTCCTGGGTGCTCCTCTGACTCACTGTGTCATGCAAAGCCCCTTACGATTTCTCTCCCCTCTGGTATTCCTCTCTAATACCGGTTGTTTAGAGAGTAGCCCTCTTCTAAGAGTCTTATTGGTTTAGGTGGAAAATGTTCATGGAATTTTCAATAGGAAAGGTGACCTTTCAAAGACACATTATGGAAGTGAATTCCAGAACAGACATCTAAATCATCTCGCCTAATTTTTTAAAAAGACTTAGCCAAGTAAATATTACTTCAGGGAAGGAAAAGGTTACTATTCCAGTAATAACCCTTGGGGTCCTGAAATTCCTCATCATGGTCAGAAGCCACCAAGTGGTTGCATTTGTTCTTGCTTTATGCTCAAAAGATGGAGGCCTTCCTTTGGAAAAAGGGGCCCCTTGGATACACCTGAGAACAGGGCTCCTGTAGCAGCTCTACTGCTTCTCCTGCTCTGGCCCCTCAGTCAGCCCACCACGCAGAGCTAGGAAAGATTAGTTATAGAAGTCACCAGAGGGGGCATCCAAAGTTTTCTGTCCCCAGACTCCAGACCTAACCTCCCAATTAAACTATCATTCCCATAGCACATGGGAAGGATCCAGCTTGCCTCATTAGGAGAACACCCAGATTTCTTGAGGCTGCTTAATTTCCTCAAAGAATAGCATTTCTTGAATGAGGAAAAGGTAACTTGGAGTTCCTCATTGTTTTTGTAGATGCTCTCATAGGCCCAGAAACATCTTTAAAGTAATAGCCAAAGAAACATGCCTTCAGAATGTTTCAAAATCTAAAAAGATTATTCTTCTAAAAAAAAAAACACCACAGAATATTTTTCATCTTCCCTAGTTTCCTTCCAGGCCTGTAACTACACATAACCCAGTCATGTTTTGGTCCAATCTTTCCTTTCCATCACATTACCTGTGACCATTAGGAAATCAAGAAATATTGACTCAAAGTGATGCCCAGTGAGTCAAAAGAAGTCCCCCTCTCACTTAACTGAAAGTCTCAGAAATTCATGGTAAAGATATTAGATGGTTTTCTCTTTGAGGGCAATAAAATGGGTTTCAAGAGCCTCCTACCCCTAAGGTAAAAGAAAGCAGCAACTTAGGTTAAAAAAAAAAAAAAAGAAACTCATTCCTTGGGTTCTTGGTTATAAACAGCAAGTATCTGTAAAGCAGATATTCAGCACTGCACCAACCCAAACCACCCTCGTTCGGGTTCAGACAGAGCTATTGTGGCAACTCCCAATAAACAGATTGCCGACAGAAATGTCTTCTTTTGTTGTTGTTTTAATGTGAGGTCTATGATTTTACAATTTGGGGAAATGAGTACTCCTTCAGGGTCTCATAGTCAATCTCTGAGAGATCATGCTAACTGTAGTCTCCCAAGACTTTTCTTCCTTGTCTATTTTCATAAGGTTCCATTTGAAGAACTTGTTAAATATACAGATTATGTATAAAATTCAGATATTAAAATCTTGAAAATATTTCAGTTGTTGCTTCCAAATAAGGAACATAGGCAAGCAATAGAACCTGCAGTTAGAGAACAGGGCCAAATTGACAGCACATCTTGGTCCCCAAAGGTAAATTACATGACCCTTAGATTGAGTTGATTCCTCAAACTATTATAATAACATCAATTTCTAAAATAAATCCTAACTTTATAGAAGAGAAGCATAGTAAGAAACAAAGACATAGAGCATGGGCAAATAAAATAAGATGAGGAAACTGGTCCCATAATGAACAAACTTTGTTCCCCCCAGTAGGCACTATTAACCTTTAGCCTAGAAGAATCCTCTTGACTTTCTAGGCCACAAAAGGGATACCTGGGACTCAGTACAAAGGGAGCTTATGAATAGCAAAGCAAGAATGCACTCATATGTGGCTTCAGAGGCAATCTAAGTCCCATTCAGTCACTCTGTAATCACTTATTGAGAACTTTGTAAGTTCCAGGTGCTGAGGATACTCTGACTTCATGGGCCTCCCACCACACTTCCTGAAGTTTGTTAACAGAAATCATTCCACAAGGCATGCTCCTTATATTTATGAAAGTACAAGGAGCCTGGGAAGCAAATTATCTCATTAACTAAAGAAATTTAACAATTCCTCTATGTTCTTAGTTTCTCCATCTAGGTTTAAATGTGTAAAACACAACAGCCATACCTTGGAATCCCCTGTAGCACATGACAGTGCTCTGCACATAAGTTAGTGAATGAATTAAAAGGAAGATCTGCGGCCAATAAGGAGAGAACTGCATACTGTGGAAAAGGAAGAAAGGGAGGAGGATGGGATCAGAAGGGAAGAAAGGAAAGAGGTCTCCACTCACTTCATTAGTTCATAGGGCACACAGCTGACGTGCATGATGGGTGAAACTATAGGAGATAGTTCACTGGGATTCCATCCTTTAGTATCTTCTACCTTTACCTGATATTCTCTGGTTCTGTTTCAGCCATGGACAACCCTGTGGATCTGACTGCTACCAACATTACTCCAACAGAAGCCCTGCTGCAGTGGAAGGCACCAGTGGGTGAAGTGGAGAACTATGTCATTATTCTCACACACTTTGCAGGTGAACACCTACAGGTCTATGCATCAGGCAGGTGGGAATGGTGGGGCCTGGGGCTGAAGACTATTATGAAATTTGGAAGAAAAAAAAGGACATTTAATCAATTTGAGGAACATAGAAATTTTCCTGCTTTACTTTCACTGTAAAGCTCTCAAGATATCCCCAAACTCTGCAAACTATATCAACTATGGAAATTCAGAAAGCTAAATCTGAAAGGTGCAAGAAGGGCATGTAAACAAAAGCAAATACAAAAACTGAGAAATAGCACTTGGAAGATAAAATTCAAAACTGAGTTGAGAGTTGCCCCCAAATGCTATGGGCAAAAAAGCACAATTTTCTAGGTATTTATATAGTGAGAAAAACACTAAAGCACCATCCTTAGAACAAATAATACATGGTGACAAAGGATCCAGAGCAAGCAAACTCCTGTTGCTTTAGTCTTGTGTACCATATCCAACCCAAAATACTGAGCAAATATGAAATCTTGAGTTTCAATGTCTTACCATGCTTGTTCACCTTCTGCTATTTGAAATTGGATAGAGTACCCCAAGGCAAAATAGTGCTGAGTAATTCAAGTATCTAGGCCTAAGGAAATTATTTCCTTGCCTAAATTGTGATCACAGAATGTAATTGTGGATTACATTCAGGAATCTAGAGAACAAAGATACCAGAAGACAAAAGATAAGCAGATGTCTTAATTTTCAAAAATGACAGAGAAAGCCAATTTTGTAAGCTGCAAAGTAAACTGATTGTTAAAGCTTGGGAAAATAAAAACCAAAACAGACTATTAAATAAATTGGGAAAAGATACCAGTATAGGTTCACTAAGAATTAGTTTTACCAAAACCACTTTATATCTTTTTTTTTTTATTGGCAAATCTGCTAGCACACTTGGATTTCAGCAAGGCATCAGAAAAACCTACTTATCACTTAGATGGAAAAATACATGATGGATCATATTTGGAATTGCACAGAATCGTAGCTGATTGAATAGCTCTCCTCAAGGAATGAATATCATGACTATGGATACATTATAACCCCTCTATTGCATGCACAATCCATTTCGACTCCTACTACCCCTCCTTGCATATGTCATGGGCCTGCATTTCTTAACTCTCACCATCATGCCTTCCCAAACCACCATGCATTTGCATGTGTTGTTTCTTCTACTGGGAAATTCTCTCCCCACTTGTCTGCCTAGACAAACCCATCTTCTAAGTCTTCGTTTCAACACTGTATCCTCTATCAAATACTCTGCAAAGCACATGGCTCCATCATAGCAATAAGCGTCCATTCAACAAAATTTTTGGAAGTCCTCCCAAGAGCCATACACCCAACAAGGCTGTAAGGATTGAGAGACAAAACACAGGGTCTTTTCTTCACAGAACTCACTTTTAGTGATGATGCGACCAGGACATTGTTACAACCCAATGTGAGCAGTGTCATGACATAAGCAATCACAAAACAGCTCCGGCCACATCCGAGAGATCACTCAATGGGGGTGAGGGTGTTGAGGGGAAGAAAGGAAGCAGATCTTAGATAAAGTGAGAGAAGGAGAATAGAAGAAAAGAAATTCTAAGACAAAAAGCAGCCTGAGTGCCTTTGTAGGATGCAAGAGAATGTGAGGATTTTTGAGGAACTGCCGTGGTTTGATATGGCCAGAGTAATGACTGCTGGCAAGATGTTGCAAATGAGGATATTCAAAAGATAGAGTCCTTATGTTTGTTCTTTCAAAGAGCTGGTTTGGATTTTTACTTGTTTGCATGCCTTCTATGTTTCTATGCACAAGAAACCTGAAACCTCAGACCCTACCTACTTGGGGGAATTTCTCAGTAAACTTTCTTAAATGCTAAATGACTCCAGAGTATTCTAAAGACACCAAGCTCTAAAGAGCTTGGCCCCGCTCTAATGAACAGTTTTATTGACAACATGAATGGATACAGAGAAGACATGTGTACCACATTTGTATGTAAAACAAAACTAAGTCAGTGATATTGTAATAGCACTGTGTGGTGAGAGACGGTAGCTATGTTTGTGGTGAACATAGCATAATGTATGGAGAAGTTGAAGCACTATGTTATGCACCTGAAACTAATGTAACACTGTGTGTCAACTCTACTTAAGTAAAAAAAAAAAAAAAAAAAAAAATTAAACTGTGATCAATAGAATTCAAATATATTTTAATAAACTCAGTGTTCCAAAACTCAATCAACAAGGCAAAATGCAGTAGAAATAAATGCAAAGCTCTGCCCATGGCTACAAAAAAAATCAACAGTTTTAGAATTGCCACATACATGTCATGGTGATTGGGGATAAATTTTCTCAACCTAGAGGAGAGAGAACTTGATTAGGGGGTGTGGTGGGAGCCAAGAGCCATGTAGACAGAAGATTCAGCTTATTCTTTTTAACCCCGGAGGCCCAAGTAGAAGTCAGGGAAAAAACAATTTGGCCTCTAAATAAGGACTATTTTCTCAATTAAGATGCAAAATGAGACGAGAAGGGATGCTTGTGTGGAATACAATGCTAAGTTAATGACCTTTAAGATATTTTTTCCAAAATTCTCTAATATTGAATCTTTATGAAATGCCATTGGATTTGGTAAGCTTCCCCAGGTTCAGTAGCCTTATTCAATTCTTATCTATGTTCTTCTGATTGCAGTTGCTGGGGAGACCATCCTGGTTGATGGCGGCAGTGAGGAATTCCAGCTTGTTGGCCTGCTTCCTAGCACCCACTATACTGTCAGCATGTATGCCGCCAGTGGGCCTCTCACCAGTGGTACCATCAGCACCAACTTCTCTACCCGTGAGTTCGTGGTTGGCTACATATCCAGCACCTGGATGCTTATGTGGATCCTAAAAATTACCAATCTCCATGTGGTTCCCTACATTATAGTCTATAGGCTTTGGACAGTGCAGCTATGAGCTGTTTGTATTTCAGTTGACTGCTGCCCAAAGGCCAGTGAAAGTGAGCTGCAGATCCCAGGTAACAGACACATTTCTGTTTCCTGCTCTCATTCTGGGCCTGGCTGACAGTAGTAGAACCAGGCCAAGAGAGCCCAGTACTGGAAATGCATCTGGCCCAGAAAAATCTGATGCACATTACAGGGCTTGATATTTGGGAGACAGTTGCTGGGTACAATCGTGGCCAGAACAGTAGACAAAGAGTAAACTCATAGACATGTAGATTTAACAAGGTCATGATTTCAGACAGAAGTCAAATTGGAAGATGTCACACCTATGTCCAGAAGCCCAGGTGAGAAAAGAGGGGAATAGTTGCAGGAATAATCATGACACTGACTCATTATCTTCTGACCCGGGAACACCCTTTCTGCTCCTGTCCAAGCCAGACCTAGGGTCAGCATGTAAGCAGCCCAGAGACCACATAGGTGGGCAAAGAGATACATGTGCCTGGAATCAAACAGAGAGGAGCTGGAGAGGCAGGCATTCCTGGCATTTTCTCCTTTTTGTAGTCCTGGACCCTCCTGCAAACCTGACAGCCAGTGAAGTCACCAGACAAAGTGCCCTGATCTCCTGGCAGCCTCCCAGAGCAGAGATTGAAAACTACATCTTAACTTACAAATCCACTGATGGAAGCCGCAAGGTGAGATTTCTCTGTAAAGGAAATTTTTCTATCAAGCAATCTGAAGGGAGAAAACTGGGTTTGCCATGATGGATACATACACGCTATTGAGGAAAGAGCCTGAGTTTGCAAGCCAGAGACTTTGGTGCTAGTCCTGGCTCGTTATGACTCTCTTTACAAGTTGAAGCAAAACACGAAACCTCTCTGAGCCTTCGTTTCTGCTCTGGATAATGGGGGTGTCTACTTCTACAACCTCATTTGCTGGTGCTGGTGCTTTCAATATGATGATACAAAGCACATTGGAAACTTCCAAGCCTTTATAAATACATAGTTTTGGGGAAAAATTTCACTAGCAGGGCCAAGCAAACATGAGCTGGATACCAAATTCAACAGTGTTTTATGCTTCTTGATAAGCATTATAAAGGCTACATCTGTATAGCCTGCAGTGAAGAGATGACAAATTTCTGTGTCATATGATCAGTTGAAACAGTACTTCTAGAGCACTGGTTGTCAAACTTCTGTTCACAATGAAATCCTTTTTTAAAAAAAGTGAAATCACATCCAGAAGCCAGATATACACAACAGATTTAAGCAGAGCTAGTCTGCTGGAGATGAAGTAGGGAGGCCTAGGATTTTGCCTCCCTGGGTCCTGAGGAATCTTGTACAGTCAGCAAATCACTGGGTTTGATAATTTACATGCCTATTTTTGTGCCAATCTGCATCTGTGAGGTAGGAGCTGCCGAAATCTCACACGGGAGCTATCCTCTCTGTATATTGGCTCAGGTCTCTCCTTGGTATGGAATGGAGAGCACACAATGGCCATGGCAATACTGACCTAGCTGGCCGTGGGCTCTGGGATTCCCTTTCCAGCTCCTCCCAGTTGTGTGCTGGTCACTCCCTTCCACCTGCCTTCCTTGCTTGTTCCACAGGAGCTGATTGTGGATGCAGAGGACACGTGGATCCGATTGGAGGGCCTGTCTGAGAGCACGGATTACACAGTGCTCCTGCAGGCAGCGCAGGACACCGCCCGGAGCAGCCTCACCTCTGCCACCTTCACCACAGGTGAGAGACTCCACCCCTGTGATGCCTTCTTCCCTGTATGATGTCTGGCTCCTCAGCACCTTCTGCTTGGGACTTGATCAGGGAGGAACCTACCAAAGAAACTCAATTGCCTCTTCTGGTGAAGGAAAATAAAGGTTTCCTCCATTCCCCCTTTCCCCCTTCCAAGGCCCTGCCAGGAAACTTCTTACTACCAAGACAACCATAGGAACCAGCAGTACAAATCCCTGGTCCACCTGGATCCACTAGATGCACCAAGTAAAGACATCAGGTTCCTGTTCAGATTTTCTACAAGTGTTTTCTCAGCAAAGTTCATGCTTCCCTCCTTCTTTCCATCCTCTGCTGCCTGTAATTAGAGAATCATTTCGTAAAAGTACCAAGAGTAAACCCTCCATATTTAAGTCTAGGGTTCTTCTCCATACACAGAACAGTTTTGCATTCCTCTGGTCTCAGCTCAGTCCTTATAACAACTGGTGAAAAGGGCCTTATTATCTCCAATTCACAGATGATGAAACAGAGTGCACGGAAATCAAATGATTTACATGGCTAGTAAGTGGCTGGGTCAAACGAAAGCCAAGGTCTTCTATTTCTAAATCCAGCTGCGCCTCCTGCCTTCCTCCAATTAATGAGCAGAAAATACCTGAAAGTGCCCATAAGGGATAAGAGTGTCCTAATGTGCATAACAGGAAATAAACTAATAGCAGGCACTGTTCTGACCGCATTACATGTACTAATTCAATCCTCATGACAGCCTATGAACTATGTTCTATGATCCCTAGCTACGGATGAGGAAATTGGGTCACACAGAGGTGCAACTTACCCAAGACCCAATAGCTCTAAAGTCAGAGAACTGGGGTTTGACTTCAGTTGATCTGGTTGTGGGGACTGTATCTGTTAACAATCCTTTCTACCACGTCCCACGGTATCTCTCTATAGCCTGTAATGTGGGACTGCCCAGGCCAGACTTTGAACTGTCTTCCCTCCCCACATTCTGGGGGTGTGGCTATGCACCCGTGTGGAGCAAGTGTAAGCATATCTCTTATCCCTAGATATATGTCTTCCTGCCACCTCAGAGTACTAGGGTGACCAGAATCCTACCCATACCCCAGAACCCATCCCCACCATCATGAGAGGGGAAGTGATGGAACATTCTCCCATCCCTACCCGGGTGCCTCTACTTGTAGACTTCTTCTAAATGGCAAAGCAGGACACTGGATCAAACGCACTAATGGTTCTTTAGGGTAGTGAGATTATGAATGAGTCCTCTTTTCCCTTCTTTTTAATATTTTCAATATCTTACAAAGCGTCTACAATGAGCAAATTAATTAGAAAAACAATTTTTAATTAAAAAACAAAAATAAGCTTTGGTCACATAACCAAACATGAATCTAAGACCTGTCTTTACCAAGTGGAACTCGGAGGACACTTGATCCCTTTATGGGGCTGAAGTCAATTACGCTCATGCTCCATGCTCTTTCACAGAGTGGCTTATCTTAGTATCAAGAGTGGCTGCCCTCTCTTGTTCAAGCCCATCTCTGCATATTCACAAGTTAAAAGGTCCTCCGTGACTCTTTTTCAAGCTACCCCCCCCCAAAGACCCATGGATTGAAGCTTTTCACTGAATTAAGAATTTCTTCCCCATAAAAAGGACACAGATGAGGGAAACATAAACAGAGCTCCCAATTTGCATATTTATTAGGTCTAAAATAATCATTTCATCCTCCAAATGCATGGGTTTCAATGCTTGCTCAGTGTAGTATGAGCTTTCAATCCCCATCCTTGTAATGCCACAGCTAATGGGTGTGAGCAGTATGATAATATGCCTGAGGTTTCTGCGGTACCTTGCAGCTGTGCCTTGCTCCAGATCCACGTGGGCTATAAAAGTATGCCAGCTTCTGTGCCTACCACTGGCCTCTCTTACATGAAACTGCCCCAGGGTGTGTAATAGTTTGGGTCTGGGATCCAAAATCCAGCTGGAGCCTCAGCAAGATCTAATAAGGAGAAGGTAAACAATTCATGGAAATCTGGAGAGGACGCCAGGGTAATGGCTTTGTTGGGTGAACAGTGCAGAGGAGCCATCAGGATGTATTTAGGTCTTTGTTTCTTTGTTTTTATGAACTCCAATTGACACTGGGCTCCTGAGGCATGACCAATACCAACCCAAAAAGGAGAAAACTGAAGAGCCCACAATCCTGTATAATGAGTGTAGTTACTGGCTGAGCTGCTCTATATAGTTTGGGGTAGCAGAGAAGGACTTGCCCCCAGTACTGTGGTACATGGCAAAGATGTGTCCATGTTTGGAAACCTTTGCAGAGTTTTACTTTAAAGCTCAAATTTAAATTTAAGTCATGTATATGTATCACACCCTGCTGGCTTTGTCTTAGAGATTTATCAGAACCCACTGAAATGACCGGTTGCAGAATGAAAAGTTTGTGGACAGAGGTAATGCATATGAAAGTACCTTGCACAAAGCCTGACAGATAGCAAATATAATAAAGGTTGGTTGAATAGAATAGTTAAATCCCAGCTATAGAGCTCGGAAGAGGGGTTTCTGGTGAAACAAAGCTGTAGAAGGAGATTTTCAACATCTATCACAGGGAGGGGACTAGCAAAGAGGTACTTCCTGCAGAGTCTGATACCCAAAGTCCCTCTAATTTGAGGTTCTCTCTGCCACCCCAAATGCAAATTTCCCCGAATAAATTACACAAAGCCTACACAGTTATTGGCATGTCAACATTAGTGAGTCTACACTGACTGTGCCATGCCCCTCCCCCACCTTTTCTACCCTGCCCTCCAACTCCCCTGCCAAAAGCTTATTTTATTAAGGAGAAAGAGAATACAAGAGTACCAGCTTCCTAAATGTGGGGATCAATGTGTTATCAATAAGGGAAAGATTGGGGTGTTTGCCTGATGAGTGGCTTGAGCCAGATGCCTTGAGGAGTCCAGGATAAGGCACCTCCAATGTACAGGGCAGGTGTTACTCATCCCAGGACTCTCCTGTCATCTCCATAGATCTCCTAAAGATCCCTCAAGATTAGGCTTCCTCTAGGGAGAGTAGTCACAGTGGCTGTGCCTTGAGCCTGATTCTGCCTCCCTGACCCTAAGCACATCCCAGCTCATCCTCTTCCTGCCTCTCTAACAGGACCCTCCCTGACACCCCCTCCCCAACGACACACACACATGGGAGCCACATAGTTCACCATGCGTGCTCCATCTGTGGGCCCCTCTTTGCCTAAAGAGAAGAAAAGGAGGAGAAAAGGGAAAAGAAGGAGAAGGAAGAGGAGGAGGAGGAAGAAGAAAAAGAGGGAAACAAAAAATGAAGAGCAGAGAATCTTTTCACTTACTTAAAAAATTGGAGTGCTGCCAGTCTGAACCCCATGAATTATTCCTGCTGAGCAAGAGGTCTGAAAACACCAGAGCATCCTATGTGACGGCAAATCAGGGCTGATGGATTTAGAAGCTAATTTCATTCTAGTAACCGGCATCCTTTAAGACTTCATTGACAGTACCTGAGCTTTCCACTTAGCAGCATCCTATTCTTAGGATGGGCTGATCTCAGCTGATCATTCTAAGCATTTTTTATGCCTTGCCTTATGGAACACAAGAGCCTAAAGCTGGGCCCCTAAGTGGCCTCCATCCACTGACAAACCTTCATCTTGCCTTGGGTGGGCCAAAGTAAGAGACTCATTTCAAGCAGATGTCTACTTAATGGTCTGGAAAACAGTTGCAATGTTTTTAAAAATAAAAGGGAAAGAGAGAACTAAAAGAAAAGAACTCACACCCACAAAACATCAAAAACTTTCTTCGATCAAGATATCTTCCCTTGCTGCTTTCCTGCCGTATAGCATAAACCCATTTCATTCTTTCCATCATGTTAATAGCTTCCTGTCCTCTTGTCTCTGGTGTTTGCACAAGACTCTGGGGGGAATTAAATACAAGTAGTATGGAAGAGAAAAAATATGGATACATTATTTATAATTTACTGTCGCCTGAAATTTCATTCAAGGTCTACTTGTCTTTCAGAGACATGAATATAAATGAGGAAACAAATATTCCCTGTAGAGCAACAGAGACTTGGTGAAATGATCTTCTGAGAGGCAGATTTCATTGTCTCCTTTAATACTATAAGAAGCAAACAAGACGCTCACTAAAGCTTGTCCTCAGAGACAGTGAACACTATAAAATAGGTTGTCTTGACCTTGAGGTTAAGCGAAGACAACCGTTTGTGGAGGTGCCCAGAGATGAGTAATGAGAAGTTTTCTTTATTGCCTTTGCTGCAGTCCTGTCCCACATCCAGGCTGAGCTGCACTCTGGGGCTCTTCACAATAACTCTGGGAGTCTACTCTAACGTAAACTTCAGTTTTTGAAGCTGTAACGATTAATAAAGATTGGCAAATCCTGGGTCCTGAGACAATAGCAGGTCATGCAAATCCACCTAATTATCAGTTGGGAATTCCAATGACCACTGTCCACTGCTTTCTACTCACTCCTATACACCACATTTCCCCCTTCTTCAAAGTAGGGAATGAAGGGGTTCTCTACTCCACTACTTAGAAACAGCTGGACTGCTAGCTTCGTTGAAATAAGCAAACCCCTCGAAGGACAGGTCCACTTTCTCCTTTGACACTCGACCATGTGGAAGGAGGCAGGGTACTAATCACCTCATTTGAACAAAACATTCCCATCCATGTCCAACAAGGATGGATGGGTGGGTATAAGAGGAGACTTCTGAATTAACCATACTGCTCAGTTTATCTCACATCACCAATGTCAATCTCCAACAAGGTCCCTCTCTGTACTTACTTATTTATTTCCTCCTACTCTCATCTCTTCTTCCGCCTTCTACATGCGACCATTCTGAGGTACTGAATCTGTGCCCTCTTATTTACATGTGTTTTTGAAAAATGTGTTCTTGAAAATTTTTTTAGTAGAAATATTTTAAATATATGTAAATGGTATTGGATTACGTAACTCATCCCGTTCTCCTATTTTCTACTCAGCAC